AGCTTGCGGTGAGTTCTTGAAGGCAAATGGCGAACAGGTGGTTACTTGGAAATGAGCAGCAAGCATGGATGAGGTGCTCTGAGAGGCAGACGTGGTGAGAATCTCTTTTCTGAAAAGTTTTGTTAGTAGAAATTCATGATATTTCAATAATCATGTGATATTTGTATAGTAATAATAATGTAATCAATTTAATAATGAGAACATACAAAATGTATAACCCAACTCAAATTTACCATTTCATAAAAAAAGTGAAATCTTTTCTATAATAAGTCAAATGTGTGTTAAAGTTGGGTTTGATTTTGTTAATAAAGTAATTTATTTGTTATTAATGTTTTTCATAGATAAGTCTTCACCCGGTTTTGGATAAAACCACTTATCATGTGGTGAACAAAGAAAGGCTTGTGATGATGAAGAAGGTAATTCTGAATGAGATGAAAATCTTTTTGTTTGTTTGTTTTTTTTTTCTTTCCTTAAGAATGCTTTGCCTAATGTATGAAAATGTAGGAAGCAGTTCTTGTGAACTGCAGTAGAGGTCCAGTAATTGATGAAGCAGCTCTTGTAGAACATTTGAAGCAAAACCCAATGTTTTGAATTGGTCTCGATGTTTTCGAGGTAACTCTTTACTCATCCATTTCCATGACATACAAATTAAAAACCAATTAAGTGAATAAGAAAATCAATTTTGTTATCTTCTTGTTTCAGGAAGAACCTTACATGAAACCTGGACTTGCTGAGATGAAGAATGCCATTGTTGTGCCTCACATTGCTTTAGCTTCGAAGGTAAAACAAGCAACAGTGGTTGAATCTAATTAATTGATCAGTGTGAGTATCTATTGAGGGTAGATTCATGTATTGATTCTTTCTGCAGTAGACCCGTGAGGGAATGGCAACACTAGCAGCTCTAAATGTCCTGTTTTGAATCTATATTAAAAATTCACCATAAACAAGTTTAATTGCTTGTTTTTTTCTTGATGGGCTGATTGAATCATAACTGTCATTTTATATGTTTCTGAATTACAGGGAAAGGTTAAAGGATACCCAATATGGGGTGATCCGAACTGGGTTGAACCATTCTTGAATGAGAATGCTCCACCTCCTGCTTGCTTTTCCTAGCATTGGCAATGCAAAAGCCTTGGACAATAATTAACAAACCATGCTTCTGAATCTGATAAAAATGCTCTAGTTTTTCCAGTCTTCTCTATTTGTTTTTTATTTGTCTAATTCAATCGCCTTATCGATCTAGGTTTTTCGTTGTTGTGTCAAGATTCTTCTCTGTTCCCAAATTATAAGCTTAGATTGATTGATCATAACACTGGCTGCATGAAGCTTCTTTCTGATAAGAATTAATAATATAGTGTATGTATATCAGCTAATGAAATCTGGGTCTGAGTGTCCTTGCTATTTATCAACTAAATGATCCTTGCATGTATTCTCAAATGAAATATATATGTACAATTAGAATTTAAAATATGATTTAACTGGGCATCATACTGTTCTTGGAGTTAAACCATTCCCTTTCTGGAGAAGTCATCGATCTGATAGGAATTTTAGATATCATAAGCAAAAGAAAAGTTAATCATCAACCAGTTATGAGTAATAATTATACATGACATAACAAATTTAATGACATAATTTTTAGGTGTATAATTTTATTACTACTCTTAACTATTTTACTTTAACAATTAATGAATATAAAGCCATCATTATTTCAGGCAATTGATTGCAATTTAAGAATAACAGAAGTTAATAATCTGCTAAATATAAATAGTTTATTATTAAGTTGTAAATGATGTGGATATGATTATAATACTACTTAATTATTCTATCTTATTTTGTATACTAAATAATTATTTAATGAAATATAATTTTTATTTATTAATAATTAAAATGACCACAACGGGATGTGAGGAAATAAAATTATTTTTATAAAAAGTTTTAGTTTACACTTTATCATATTTATTTAATTTATATTTTTATTTGATGAGATAAATTATTAAAAAATAATGTATAACTTTATAAAATATGAAATTAAAGCACTTATATTATAACACAGAGTTATATTTATTTATTTTTTGCATATGCATTATCCTTTTTTCACTTGTTTCTTCAATGATATGAAATAATGAATTATTTATTCCACTCGTGATTTGTCATCCTATTTTTTTATTTTAAATTGCAAAATTAAATGCCGACATACAAAAAATGAATAAGAGAAAAATAATACATAATTTGTCAGTCTCGAAGATTCTAAAGAAAAAATAAAAACCCAAATGCCAAAAAAAAAAAAAAAAACCGTAAAGAAACGCTGCCGTTCTGGGACGCAAAGACAGCGAAGAATCCGGTTTTCTGGTGCTCCGCCGCGTTATGACATATAAATATCTTCTTCGGTCGTTTCCCCTTCCCCCACAGTTCTAGAGTCTTCACTGGTTAGGGTTTTGTCATCGATTCAAAGAAAAACGAGACCGAGAAGGGGATGGCAGCAATGACAACGACGGAGAAGAAGATAACGTTGAAGAGCTTGGATGGCGAGATTTTCGAGGTGGACGAAGCGGTAGCCCTGATGTCGCAGACCATAAAGCACATGATTGAGGATGGCTGCGCCGACAACGCGATCCCCGTTCCCAACGTCAGTGCTAGAATCCTTTCGAAGGTCCTAGAATACTGCAAGAAGCACGTGGAGGCCGCCGCTGCTGCCGCTGCTGCATCGACCGACATGGCCACCGTCGATAAGGCCATCTCTACCCCTGAGAAGGAGGCCGAGCTTAAGGCCTGGGACGCTGATTTCGTTAAGGTTGACCAGAGCACGCTCTTTGACCTCATCCTGGTACACGAAGTTACCCATGTCTCCTTCTTTTCACCTTTTGTTCTGATTCTTTTACCTCGTTCTTTATGTTTTTCATTACCTTTTTCTACGGTTATGTCAATTACTTGGGTGCTTTTATGTTTTCTTCTTTGGTTCTTTGGTTGAGAATGCTGCATTGTCCAGTAGCTTAGGTTTTTTTATCGGATATTTTTTCTTTTGATTTAGGGTTTTTGTATAGTTAATTGCGTAGTTTGATTTTTCTAATTAGTTCTTCGATCTCTTTTTCATGAATTTTACTTGGATTAACTTCTATCTGGATCCACACAATTTCTCTTTTCTTTGTCTGTTTGTCCTATTTGTTTGTACCAATTTATGTTCGCGATTATGATTAATAGTGCAATTTTTTTATGAGGTTATAAAAGTTCTAGCACATTTTGGGAAAAGATCTTGCTCATAGATTGTCAGGTTTTGTCTACGGATTCCTGTTTTGCCGCATAGAAGCTGATTAATGGAGTAAGAGAATACTTAATTGGGTTTTTGATGGAGGTTGGCTTTAGCCCAGTTCTGATCATTTAAGCAGGTTTTGTATGTCTTGATTAATGTGTTGTTTCAAATTGATTCCTGCCGTGGTTATTTGTTGGAATACATTCGTTCAAGTGGCAATCACCTAATGCACTTAACAATAACCAACAATGCAATAGAGCATCAAATGCGAATAGATAGGTTGTCTCTGATATTAATATATGTTGTTGATTGTAGGAGATTTATAAAAACGGATCTAAAAATAGCAGATTGACACCCTGCATCTTCCTCTCAAGTTGGTAAAAAAATACAGATTTTGGTTTGAATATTTACTCATTTATCTAACCTTAAGGGGGGTATTATGTTATTGCAGGCTGCAAACTATCTGAACATCAAGGGGCTGCTGGATCTTACTTGCCAGACTGTGGCTGACATGATCAAGGGAAAGACTCCAGAGGAGATTCGTAAGACTTTCAACATCAAGAATGACTTCACTCAAGAGGAGGAAGAGGAGGTGAGAAGGGAGAATCAGTGGGCATTTGAGTGACATAGAACTGTCGCTGCAATGCCTGCAAGTAAATGTTGATATTGTGATGGGGGTGCAGAGGATGTTAGCTATCTAGCTGAGAGAGTTGACTTTTATTACTATGTGATTACTCTAGGTATAATAAGGTTTCATGTTTAAAGATTACAACATTAATGGGTGATTCTCCGTGCTGGAGAGCAGACCCAAGTCAGATTTTCAGTTTGAAGGTAGTATGGAGATTATGATTGGATTTCATATAAAATGAAAAAAAAAAAAAAATCAAATTGGCATTTATTTTGAAACTTTTTTACTTTCCACAGCAAGTTTGATTCACAAAATGTCTGTTGCAACTTTAGTTTCACATGTTAGAATTGCTAGGTTTAATCCAGTTGAAATGCTGGATTGGCATGATAAATGAAGATGCATACATGTTCTCCTCTCATTCCTTTTTGCTCCATGGAGTAGAAAAGTAAGATCATCTTCTTTTTGCTTGAACGGAAGGAGAAACACTGGAATTTATTCTCTCTCTAACTTATTTCTCTGTAATCTAAGTTTAACATTTAATATTGACCAATCTATATAATAGATGATTATAGTTCATATTTATTACTAACAGGGCTTTCTTGCTGAAATTCCAAAGAAAAATTCTTGAGAATTCAGTTGTAAGTATTACAGATTCTTTATTATAAAGAAAGCTAATGGGACACATTCTTATAGGGATTAAATTGAAAGTAAATTTTATTTCGTCGAATTGATAGTAAGTTTTCTCAGATTATTTTTACACAAAATTTCTTTATTTTTAAAAATATTAAAATTTTATTAATATTTGATAGTTTTAGTTTTTTTTTTTTTAAATGCTTATCAAATAATCTTTAACTGTATTTTAAAATTTTATTTAATTTTATTAAACAAAGAAACACATTCGACTAATCTAAATCAATTGTTGAATATATTAAATTTAATTAGTTGAATGAATACTCTGTTGATATAATTTTATATCTTAACTGATTAATATAAAAGAAGAAGTTTATGTTGTATAAACTTTACGAAACTATTTAATATTAACGTCGTATTAGACATAATTTAGTAAAATTATTAGAAATTATATTATAATTATTATGTAATTTATTAGAAAAATATATATTTTTTCTTATTATTTATGAAAATGTACTTTTTCATAATCACAACGCACTTTATAATAAATTTCAATTGGTGGCACCACTCCGATCACTTCTTAGGGTCTCATTGTGATTAATATAAAGGAAGGAAGAAGTTCATATTGCTTAAACTTTATGAAACTATTCAACATTAAGGCCATGTTGAATATTGTTTGATGAAATGATCTAAAAGTACATTATAATTGTTCTATAATTTATTAGAAAAATATGCTTCACAATAAATTTCATTATTTATGATTATGAAATTATACTTTTTCATAATCAAGATAAACTTTGTAATAAATTTCATTTGGTTGCAGGACCCTGGTCACTTCTTACGGTCTTCAGAGAAATTGGTCAATGATAGTGGCGGCAGGTTTCATCACGAGGTTCTCCCAAGCTTCACTGGCTTCGTCTCCTTCCTTGAGAAACACCTGTGTCGCATCAATCCGATGAAACTCTAGATTCCCTGGCTTGTAAAGCCCTTTAATTTTCTGCGACTGTTGGTTGGCCAAAATGCAAGTGTTGTCTTTAATGGCGGAAATGGATTTCTCGAGCAATCTCATCCGACCCATCTTGCTCAATTGGGATTCTTCTCTGAAGTACTGATCCAATTCTGGAACGCCAATTGCTCGCCGGACTCCGTAAGAGTAATCTCTCGTAGTCGGATCAAATACTGTTCGAACTTCGTCAAGACCATCTTGTCAACTCGTTTTGACAGAAATGAATGAACCACCGGCATCGACACGTCAACCCACAAGAAGCAACACTCACATCTTAAACGGAAATCCGGACATTCATTCACCAATGCTTTGATGTAGGAGTTGGAGTCGCCGGCGATGATCGGGAGGCGATCACTTTTGGTGGTAGAGTCAACAGTAGGCGGGACAAAATCTTGGAAGTCGGCAATGGAAAAGGTGGCACTTGGGTCGAGTACGCCGAGCAGATGGTGAAAGACGCCGCGACGTTCTTCTTCAGTGACCTTGTTGGTGACAATGTCGAGGCCTTTGTAGAGTTGGATCTTGTCGGAGTTGATTATCTCGGCCGGGAAGCGGGTGGCGAGGTCAATGGCGAGACGGGACTTGCCGCTGCCTGTGGTGCCCATCACGAACACAACCTTTTCTTTCTTGTGGAAGATTGGGACGTCCGTGGTCAACCCGGTTCCTTGGAACTTCACAGTAGGTTTCACGGCGGACATACACAACTCTATAGTTGGTAGGTATATATCTCCCTGAACATTTCACAGAAATAATTCATAGTAAGCAACGAATCTTAATTGTATACATGCACTGGCAGAATTACAGGAGCTCGGGGAGCAATTGCCGTTATCTCCTCCCTTATATATATATATATATATATATATTATATCCCCTATAAATATGTATTAATCATTTTAATATCAGTTTACGGAATATTTTATGTAAGAAATATAAAACTCCTTAAAAACATAAAATATATTTTATATATATGCATATAAATATCAGTTAAATTTAAACAATATAAAATTTTTATGCAAACAGATAATACTCTCATAGAAGATTTGATGAATTGAATTCAAGTTTTTTCTCTACGTAAATTTTAAAGAAAAGCAATATAAGTTTTAATGGATGGAGTAGTTTACCTTGAGAAAAGTATGCGGTGAGTTGCAAGAGAAGAAGAAAATGAGTGTTTTCTTAAATGCGAGTGAGAGAGAGATGTGATTTTTTGATGAGTTTAAGAGGGAGATGCTTACATCTATTTATACAGCTACAAGATGTGTGTGTGTGTGTGTGTGAGAAGGGGAGAATGTGTATTGGTGATATCCGAAAAGAGAAAGAAGAAAGAGGAGATACTGGAAATCCAGTATGGTTTATGTATGTGAGGAAAGGGTTCATCTCTTGGGTTAAATTTGGTAGAATTATTATGAAAAGAATCCACACTTGGGAAGAATTATTATGACAAAGTTCATACTTATATACACTACTCCATATGTAGATAGATACATACTCCTTTACTAGTTATATGTATTACCTAAACTTGACCTATGAAAAATAAAAATATCAAACTTATCTTAGATTTGAGATAAGTTTAGAAAAATATTATATATTTTAACTTATTACAAAATTTTGTACTAAAATTAAATAATTTCATTTTAAATTATATTAAAATATTTAATATATTAATATTAACAATTAAATGAAAATATTTGAACTTGGAGAGGCATCGTGAATAAAAGAACAAACTTGATATCGAGAGAAGAACAAAAAAGAGTTTTCGATGATGAAATATTTATTTGACCTAATTTTTTTTTTTTTAATTTATCATATTAATATATATTTTTATTTTTAAAATATTTAAAAAAATGCTAAATAAGGTAACTAAACTATATTTGTTCAATTTTGATTAAAAACTAAAACAGATTTGAGGGCCGGCCAAATTGGAATTTTGATAAATTAAGAATTTAGTTTATATCACATCCACATGGCAAGAAAATGCCACGTCATGATCTGATACATATGACTTGGCAGTAGGATCTTAACGGGAGCTAAAAATGTTTTGTATTTATTAAAGTAGCAATCATATTTTTGTTATTATTATTACTAGATTTCTATCCTATCTTATAATTTTTACTAAAATATTCAATTAATTACATATTTTTAATGTAATCAAAAGTTTTAATTAATCTTTTTTTAAATAACTTGTAAAGCAATTGTCGTAGTTTAATTTTTTAATCTTTTTTTAATTTATTTTGGCCTCTCGCAAAGGGGGTTGGGCTTAAAAAAAAGCAGTCCCAGTTTTTCTGCCAAAACGGTACCGTTTTAATCAAATAAAACGTTGCCCTTTCTTTCAACAATAGAGAAAGCGGGGAGGGTGAGGTTGAGTTTGGGTTGCTTCTTTTTTGTAGGAAATAGAGAACAAGTGGAAGCACGTTAAGCATTCGATTTGAATAAGGCGTTGCGTGCAGGTTCCTTCATGGCATAAATTGAAAAGATAGTAGAGAGATGCGGCTTCAAGAAAGGAGAAGCTGGAGGTAGGTGGTGGCATGTTCCAACTGAAGAATGGCACAAAGAATGGAGGATGAGTTAGGTGATGAAATCGGCTATAAAACTCAAGCCGACAGGTTTTAGAGGAGAAAATAGAGGGCTGCGCACTGGTTTTTAGAGGATAAAAAAAAGAGAGTAACAGAGCAAGAAATTAAAGGAGGAAGAAAGAACTAAGTTAAAGAGTTATCCAAAATTTAAAAAAAAAAAAAAAAAAAAAAAAAAAAAAAAAAAAAAAAAGGATAATGGAGTCGAGAGAGATAAGTTAGGAAAAAAAACAAAAAATGGTTATGATGGTGGAACAGGATTAAGGGCAGTGGCTTTGTTAAATCTGTTGCTTAAATTTAATTAAAGACTTAGTCTTCATCTTTAATCTGGGGACTTTTTAGTTCTTTTATATCTGTGCTTCTTCTTTGAATATGGTAAACAAAAAGTTTGATTTTGATTTTGAATGCTATGGAAAATACTGTACAGAATTTGCTGAACTGCTCCAAGTGAGATTATGAAAAACAATGTAAATAATGGTTTTCATTTAAATGTTGTGATTCTGATTTGATATGAACATTTCAAACTTTGGTGTTGTGAATGGCTGGCTGACAGTATGAATATGATAATTTAGGTAGGTGTTTATTGTGTTATGATTATGATAATAAAGTTTAAAATTTTGACATATAAATCTTGAAATGAAAAATTGTTTACATCGAACATCGATTTTTAAAAATGTATATGTTTAAACTCACTTTTGTTAAATATAAAATCACATTATTAATCAAATGAATTTTTTAAAAAAGTAGAAAGAATGTAATTGTTGTAACGATAAATTTTGACACATTTAAATGCTACAAATCATGATTTGAAATTTGTTAGGTCATCTGATATTATGCCATGAATCATGATTTGGAAATGATCTCACTTCCAGTACAATTTTCTTAATTATTTGCATACATAGTTTAGGGACTCGTTGTGGAACCATTTCACCCACCGTTTCAAGGTTGGTGCATTTTATTTAAATTCTTGTCACGTGATTGCGTGTAAACTCTGAATAATTATTGAGGGACAAAACAAAATTTATCCTAATAATTTTGTGTTATTAAAAATATAATTACTCAAAATCTATACTTTAAGATTTGCATCTTAGAGTTTATTTTTGTGTCCGGATTTAACGAGTACCATGCAAAAAATTATGTCGGTTGAATTATTTAAAGTAGAGTGTAACATTTGGATCTTGTCCTCATGCACAAACTCGAAGTGATCCGTAAAACTTGAATGAACTAACATTAGATGGGGAAAGAGTTTGTCTTTACAAATTAAGAAGTATCTATTATTACTTCGAATACTAAATTTGTTTTTTGTTTTTCATAAAATGGTCCATTTCTAGGATAATTTTTAAAAATTATGAAAGAATAACTTGTTAATTTACTAATCATTCTTGCATTTGGTGAATTATATTAAAATTCTTCAATGAGAATAGTGTTCCAATTTTGATTTTCTAAAAGAATTTTGATAATGATCATCTTTATCTACATTTTTGCATCCATTTTATTTTTTAAAGGAAATTCTAATATTTGATTATATATTTATTGATAAATAACAAGCTTTTGATCAGAACCGAGATCACTCGTTCAAGAAAGAATTGACAGTTAATTTCAAAATCTTCCAAAATCCATCACAGTCTTTCAAGAAAAAGAGGAAACTAAATCTCAAGCTTTTAAAGTAAGATACATCCACAATTAAGAGGTTTCTATAAAGGAATAATATATCTGCACTATTATTATTATAATCTTCCTAATTATAATTTTATTCTTATTCTAATATTTTATTTGATTTTCTATGTAAGTTATGTAATTAATTTAGAAGATTTATTTTTTTACATTTTACTTTACATATAACTATAATATATGCAAGTTATGCAATTAATTTGGAAGATTTATCTAGAATTTGGTTATAATCATTCTCAACTCAAGTCAAAGCGATAAAATAGAAATTTTATTTTTCAATAAGTGAAGTGTTCTTTATCCTTCTAATTGAGTGAGAAATTGGGTCAACTTATCAAGATAATCTTGTAATATTTTCTCAGTCATTTTATCTTTTTAATTACTTAGTTCTTATCAGTTATGGATAACGTGTAACGGCCCCGAAATTTTAAAGAGAAATGTATATATAAGAAAAATTCTGAATGCGGAAGCAGAATAAAAATTTTGATTAATATCTCTTTCACAATAATCCAAATGTACTAAACGTATGAAAGAATAAACTACATAAAGTAAATACTAGAGATGAATGTTATAAATAAAACTATGAAATCTTTAGACATCTACTCGCCGTCTTCCTGCGGGACAGGTTCGGGAACCAAGTCTTCCTGATCTGAAATGGTTAAGTAATGAATGAGTTACACTAGTTCAATAAAGACATCACACTATCTCACTGTCACAGAAGTAGAGGTTGGTAGAAAACAAAAACGACCAATTGAGCATAATTTATAACAAACTCATTTATCAATAATAAAAACTTTTACTGTCCACTTACTTCGGTGAGATTCATGAAAACGACTTATAAGAAACAATAACATCATAAACATCATAAGATCATGCACACTCTGTAACATAACACATATAATACTTTTGTATTTCAATTATCAGGCAACAATTTTTCTCTTTTATCAGCCTACTAGTATCCATGGGGATCCATAGGGGGTCCCCACTACACGTGAACCAGTCACATTAATAACTTAATTCTAGGGTCGTCCCCATATCCCGTCCGGTATGAGCATCAAAACCATAAACCTCAATACCCCGTCCGGTATGAAGGTGAAACGGGCCGCCCCCATACCCCGTCCGGTATGGGTGCCAAAACACATAAAGTCTCCATACCCCGTCCGATATGAGAGACCACGTTCCCGGTAGGGTTCCCTATGGATCTGGTCCGTCCACAATCTCTCAGGATATCTAGTTAGGCTATCGACATTATCCATTTATCAATTCACATACATTTTTTCATTTTTCTTAGTCTCAATTATCCAATCAAACATAAACACGTAAACTAGTAATGGACACCAAACAAGGCAACACAACATCGGGTTCACAATAATTCAAATCATAATAAATGAAACCGTGATTCATGCATACAAAACTATAGAATAAACACATCAGGTACCATACTGCATTTAAAACTGTAAAAT